AAGGTGGGACAGGGAGGGATGGCGGGGAAGGGGAAGAAATAGAGAGAGGAGGGGAACGGAGAGGGAAGAACGGAGGGCAGGAGGTCGGGGAGGTAAGGGAGAGAGGGAGGGAGGACGGGGAGGGGAAGGAAGTTGAGAGGAAAGATGGGGAGAGAGAAGAGCAATGAAGAGGAGGGAGTGGGAGGGACGGATGGGAGAGATGGGAGGGAAGATGTGGGAAGGGGGGGGGGCAGGCAGGCAGGGAGGGAGGGAGGGAGGGGGGAGGGGCAAGCTAGGTGCGCTCGCGTCATATCTGACGTCCTACCCCTCCCACCCATCCCTTACCATGGCGCTGATTTTCTCTATCCGCGGACGCGTGTCGTAGCGGACCTGTGGCTCCGCGCGCGCGTGCGTAGTGGGTGGTGGTGCACGTGCGTGCGTGCGTGCGTGTGTGCGTGGTTGTCGTGGTGGTGGTGGTGGTGGTGGGTGGTGGTGGTGGTGGTGGTTGGTGGTGGTGGTGTGCTGGTGGTGGTGGTGGTGCTGGTGGTGGTGGTGTTGGTGCTGGTGCTGGTGCTGGTGGTGGTTGTGGTGGTGGTGGTGGTGGTGGTGGTGGTGGTGGCGGTGCGGCGCGGTGGTGGCGGGCGGATGGGCGCGCGAGAAAAAGGCCCGCGCTGTGGCGAGAACGCCATCCTGAACGACGGAGGCCAAACACCGATCCGAAAATGAGGCCCACGCTGCAGCGGGAGCACGATTCGGAACGATTCGGGAGCAGAAATGAGGCCGGCGCCTCAACGAGAGCAGCATTTTGGGAAAAAATGACGCCGGCGCCTCAGCGAGAGTCGTTTCCCGGGATTTCCCGGGCATCCTGTGTGTTAAAAAACAGTGCGCGGAGGGTGCGCGGCCATCACCCGGACGCCATCAGGGGAAGAGGGAGAGTATTTTCATATTGAATAATTGTGAAGGGAGCGGAGGGGATGGAGGGAGGGAGGCAGGGGAAGGAATCTTACGGGGCAGAGGATTGGATGTGCGTGCTCCCATTGAGTCGGCGGCGGAAGCGTCGGACAAAGCCTCCTCTGCTCCAGGTGCCACGACCCAGAGAGGGTTCGGAAGCGACCCTGCTGCGACGGCTCTGGAAGACTGCCCGCCAGCGCTGGAGGGGGTGCAGAGGATGGATGCGAAGGCAGTGCTCTCCTGGAGGCCCGTGCGCATTCTCGGGGCGGTGCTGGACCTCCCAGGCGCGCGACAAGAGCAGCACCGAGGCCGACGGCGCCACGAGGCGGCCGTGTCTGGCGCTGTCCCAGAGAATCTGCACGGGCATCTGGGGGCGCGATCTCGAGCGATCACATCCGCCCCAAGCCCTGGCCAGAGCGAATCATGAGAGGCAACTCAGAGACTCCCGGCGGAGTAGACGGGGCCAGGCACGGGGCGCCTGCCTGGGGCTCGTCCGATCCCGCCTACGCTGCCTGGTCGACGGCCACCACAGGTGCGGGACGGCGACAGGAAGGGGGAGAGGGAGCCATCCCATGAGGACAGCAGGAGAGAGGGGGAGGAGGAGGAGGAGGAGGAGGAGGAGGAGGAGGAGGAGGAGGAAGAGGAGGCGGAGGAGGAGCTGGCGGAGGAGGCAGAGGCAGAGGCAGAGGAGGAGGAGGAGGAGGAGGAGGAGGAGGAGGCGGAGGAGGGGGGTACCCTGCCCGACCCGCACGACCGGCGAGCCGGGCAGAGGGGAGGGAGGGCGGGCTCCAGGGAGAGCGTGCTCGGAGCAGAGAGAGAGAGAGAGGGAGAGAGAGAGAGAGAGAGAGGAAGAGAGGAAGCGAGGAAGCGAGAAAGAGACGGCAACGGGCGCACGCGAGGGGCCCCCGGACGCGTCCGGCCGGGGCGACGAGAGGGGCCCCTGAGGACGAGCTTAGCCGAGACCACGGCAGGCTCCCAACGAGGGCGATCGTGAGACCTCCGGAGGCTTCTCGAGACCCGCGGCGGCCCCGAGGGGAGCAGCAGGCCGACGGCCTCCGGGGAGCAGCCGAGTGCCAACCGCGGCCTCCGAGGACTGGGGAGGGGCCTCCAGACCAAGGCAGCCCTAGGAACTCCCGGGGCCCCCGAGGCCGCACCTCGAGAGCTCCCGCAGGCCCCGGGGGGAGCCCAGCCCTCGACGGCCCTCGCCCAGCACGGCGACGGGGAGAAGCCCCCGCCCAGCGAACCCGGCCCACCCGACCCAGCCCCGCCGGGGGAGTGCGGGGCGGGGAGGGAGTGGGAGAGGGAGGGAGAGGGAGGGAGGGCGAGGGAGGGAGGGAGGGGGAGGGAGGGAGAGGAGGGAGGGAGAGGGAGGGAGGGAGAGGGAGGAGAGAGGAGGAGAAGTGAGGGAGAGGGAGAGGGAGGGAGGGGGAGGGAGGGCGATGGAGGGTGGGGGGGGAGAGAGGGAGGGGAGAGAGACAAGCTAGGTGCGCTCGCGTCATATCTGACGTCCTACCCCTCCCTCCCATCCCTTACCATGGCGCTGATTTTCTCTATCCGCGGACGCGTGTCGTAGCGGACCTGTGGCTCCGCGCGCGCGTGCGTAGTGGGTGGTGGTGCGTGCGTGCGTGCGTGCGTGTGTACGTGGTTGTGGTGGTGGTGGTGGTGGTGGTGGTGGTGGTGGTGGTGGTGGTGGTGGTGGTGGTGGTGGTGGTGGTGGTGGTGGGCGGCGCGGTGGTGGCGGGCGGATGGGCGCGCGAGAAAGAGGCCCGCGCTGGGGCGAGAACGCCATCCTGAACGACGGAGGCCAAACACCGATCCGAAAATGAGGCCCACGCTGCAGCGGGAGCACGATTCGGAACGATTCGGGAGCAGAAATGAGGCCGGCGCCTCAGCGAGAGCAGCATTTTGAACAACAAACGCAGGCGAAAACCCAACTCCCGGGAATCCTGTGTGTAAAAAACATTACGCAGGGGGGGGGTCTAATACTTTCAGGCCGCCATCGGGGGAAGAGGGAGAGTAGTATTCATATTGAGTAATTGTGGAGGGGAGGGAGAGGAGGGGCTGGTGCCCCCCAGCCGACCTCCCAGGCCCCAGAGGGCCCCGGGGCGGCGGCCCTCGACGGCCTTCTGCCGACGCTCCAGCGGCGCGCGGGCACGCGACGGCGGCGCACGGGGCAGCTCACAGGCAGGGCGAGGGAGGCCACGGCTCAGCATCGTTTCGCCGATCCCTGTCCCCACCTCCATTCCCGTCCCGATCCTCCTCTATCCTCCTCTATCCTCCTCCTCCTCCTCCTCCTCCTCCTCCTCCTCCTCCTCCTCCTCCTCCTCCTCCTTTCCCTCCTCCTCCTTTCCCTCCTCCTCCTCCTCCTCCTCCTCCTCCTCCTGCCACCCCACTTGGGGATGCACCCCTCGAACCTCGGAGGGAGCAGTCCCTGTATGTCCCCATCCAGGGGGGAAGGTCGGCCTGTCGGGCCCAGGCCACGCCCGTGGGGACCGGGATCGGCGAAGCAATGCTCAGCGGCCGCACCCAAGGGGCCCCCCAGGGCCCCACCCGAGAGCCCGGAAGCAGCAGCCGCCCCGAGCTGGGCCCCCGCGAGGCCGACCGCCGATGGCCTCGGGGGGGCTCGGAAGACCTCCCGCGGAGACCGCCGAAGGACACTGGAGGCAACGAGGGAGCCACAGCTCGACCGGGGGATCGACTACAGAATCGATTTACCCTAGAATTGATTTTCACGCCGACTCCTCAACAAAAACACGTAAATCATTCGTAGATTTGCGGAAGTTCTACGAACTGCCCGTGGATTCTGCAAGAAAAT